AATTACACAGAAAAAGAGATGTACTTGGAATGCACGCGAGAAACTTGCAGTAATAACCTACCAAGAAAAGACACAGGCAAGTATTCGCAAAACTTCACTTGAGTTTGGAATTGAACCAAAACAATTTCGTGATTGGCAGTCAAAAAAAAGTAAATTGATACTTGTATGTCCACATGTTCGTCGGCTGAATACTGGCTTTCGCCCGAAGTATCCTGAACTAGAAGTTGAACTAATTAACTAGGTACGTGCATTGCAAGCTGAACTTAAAGTAGTTACACGTCATATGGTTCAAGTTAAAGCAAAAACTTTGGCACAAACACAACTGATATTTCAACATTTCAATAGAGCCATAAATGGTTATATGGGTTTATGAACCATCATCATTTGAGCAATCGACGGCGTACCACTGTTTCACAACATTTACCTGAAGATTACAGTGAAAAGCAACAGGAATTTTTAAGTTTGGTTCTTCTTCAACGAATGAAATATAACTATCCTTTAAAGCTAATAGGCAATATGGATGAAATGCCACTTTCTTTTGACTTGCCAAACAACTATACAATTGATGAAACTAGGGCCCATAGTATTAATATCAGAACCTGTGGATATGAAAATTCAAATTTTACAGTTGTTCTTAGTTGTATGTCTGATGGTTCTAAGTTGCCACCATTAATTATTTTCAAACTTAAAAATGTACCACGGCTTAGCTTTCCAAGGGGTGTAAAAATTAGAGCTAATTTAGAAGGCTGGATGAATACTGAGGAAATGTTATTCTGGATCGAAAATGTGTGGAACTGTCATGCACCTCTTTCTGTTGATCCACATTCTTTGTTAGTACTTGATTCATTTACTGGTCATCTTGTAGACTCAGTTAAGCGATGATTTAAGGGAAAAAATACTGACTTGGCAATAATTCCTAGTGGGTTAACACCTCAGTTACAACTGTTAGACGTAGCTATAAATAAACCTTTTAAAGATAAGGTATATTCACTAAAGCATCAAATATTTATACTTATTTGGAAATGATTATGTAGGAGATTTTATTAGGAAATGTTGTATTTTCTGACTATAAAATATGATAATTTAAAATTGAAGATGGAATTTAAAACCAACTATTATTAAAGGGACAGCACATACTATATAATTTTTTGAAGAAATAATAGAATAAAAATTTAGAAATTCATATAAATTTTTTTTTTTTATTCTTACAATTAAAGTATTAATTACTTAATACATATGTAGGTTCGTAATTATTATAATAAGTGGATGGCTGAGGAAATTAAAAAGCTAACGCCTACAGGATGATTTCAAAAGCCTGCTTACAACATTGTCGCTCAGTGGGTTCAACAAGCATGGGATGATATCGATCCAGCACTTATCCGACATTCATTTAAGTGTTGTGGGATTTCTAACAATCGAGATGATACTGAAGACAAACAAATCTTTGATTATTATTTCGTAACAAGGGACAATTCTACACCGCATATTATCGTTGAGGAAGAAAATAATGAAAGGTCTAATAAATCAGTTGGGAATTATGAAGATTCTGGTGAATCAGTTGGGAATTATGAAGGTTCTAGTGAATCCGTTAGAAATTGTAAAGATTTAAATGAATCAATTATAAATTGTGAAGATCCAAATGAATTGGTTATAAATTGTGAAGATTTAAACGAATTAAGTAGAAGCTGTGAAGAGTCAATGAATCAAGTAGAAGCTGTGAAGAGTCAAACGAATCAAGTGGAAGCTGTGAAGAGTCAAA